CGCTCACTGACGGCCCCGCCCAGGTGCTCATGACGCGCGTACCTGCGACGAGCACGCCAATCGTCCGCGCCAAGGTGCTCTGCGAGAAGATCAGCGAGGTCTACCCCGGACGGAGCGTGCACCTCATCGGTCAGTACCGCCCCACGTCCTCCTGTTGGCCTGCTGATGTGGACTGTAGGCCATGCGCGCATACATAGGACATAGCATGGTGCGTGTGGCCATGATCGCTGCAATGTATGCCGGTCTTGATTGTGTGTATGTCTGTGCAGGGCGGCCTGGACTGCAGGTATCTGACGACGCATCTGACGGACCGGCCGTTCAAGGTGCTGAGCGTGACGACGATCTCGACACCGCATCGCGGGTCGTCGTTCGCAGACCACTTTCTGGCGACGGTCGGGCGCGAGCGCATGCCCAGCGTGCTCGCGTTGCTCGATCTGCTGCCGAACGGCGGCGGAGACGGGAAGGTGAGCCGCGCGGGTGGCTCTGCGCATGGCCGGACGCTGAACGATGGTGTGATTTGTGACGCAGGCGTTCGAGTTTTTGACGGTGGAGAACATGCGGAAGTTCAACGAAGAGACGCCGGATGTGCCGGGTGTGAAGTACTTTAGCTGGGGTGCCGTGTACGAGCCCGGGCTGATTGATACGTGGAAGTGCGTGTCGCGTGAATTCTGAATCTCTCGTGCCTGGGAGTTGATCGTCCGTGCGTATTGTAGGTGGCCGCACTCGGTCGTGCTGGAGAAAGAGGGGCCGAACGACGGGCTCGTGTCGCTCAAGTCGGCAAAGTGGGTGCGTGCTCTTCCCTTCGTGTCTCTTGTGCCGTGTGTGTGTGATGTGTGCAGCCAGCCTGACCGAGCCGACGAGAAGACGACTCTGTGTAGAGGCCGATGCGGGCACGACGGACGCAGGGTCCGGCGTACGGCTGGTCTTAAGAGGGCGCCAGTTAACCGCACTGGTCTGCCGCCCTCCACGCGTATCTTCGCACGCGAAGCTCATGGCCGCGGCTGGCGCGACCGCTGAGAATGAGATTACGGGGACGTTTCAAGCGGTCCTCACTCGAGAACCTGCACGTCGCGAATAGCACATAAGGTGTCTGTACGACACAAGATGATGGCAGCCTTTGTAAACTCGCGACCTCACGGCTAGTCGAGTGCCCCGTCGGGCGTTCTTCTAATGCTCCCATCGCATTGCGTCTGATCAGGTATGTGACCGTTGACGTGGAGAGGAGTGTGTATGAGGACTCATGGTTGCATATCCCCGAATTATTATGCTATTCTAGTGTACATTGTTACATGGTTCAATACAAACATGACTATGTTTAAGATGATGCACTGGCAGTGGCCAGAACGTCAGTCGAGCTCGAGTTACACATGCAAAGGTACGCACAGAGGACTGCGGGCAGGCGCGATACGATCACGAAGAGAATATGCATGAACGACCAGTGGAAGCGCAGGCAGCCTTTGCTGCCGTCCTCTCCGCACCCAGACCGGTCTGCACGAAGAATACGTCCTGCTAGCCTGGAGCGTGCGATGTTCGGGCTCTGAGACCTGCGCAGACCGCGGCCGATAGAATGGAACGCACGGATGTGATGAAGAACCTGGGCGGATGTCAAATGCGAGAATGACTCACGGAAGCACTCTTTGGCGGGTTTCTTCGGTAGAACTCGCACATGAAACGGAAGATGCAGGAGGGTGAGAAATGCTTTGGCCGCTCTTATCGACAGAGAAGCGATGCTGACCTTGTGTTATTCGAGGTCGGATGGGTGACATTAGCAAAATAAACTCTGCTTACCGTCTGCCTCGGAAATAGGGCCAAATCCAAGGTGAATTGAGCAGGTTCCCATAATGCAGTGTTCTGCATGTTGGAATGTAGACTCACATCCGAGTACTCCATCCGTTTTCCTAAGCAAGAAACCCCAGATGCCCATGAGTCATGACTATCGCAACCCCGAAAGAAGCGACTATTTTTTTCGTGCAAGCCAAAATGATCTGGCAGGCCTGGTCGACATCCACATCAAGCATGATCAGACCAGACTATGTCCAGTCCAAGTTCTCACATGATTACAAGTACAGGCTGCTGACAGGATCAACGTGAGATAGAGACAGCTTCGTGAGTGTCCAGACAGCTGCGACATTGTGAAATTAAGCCCAGAGCACTTCGAAGTGGCCCAGATGTATGTGAGTGAACAAGGAGCTCGGATTCTACCAAATGTTCCATGCCATGGAAGCTTATCGGTAAAGAGAAGTCCTGAGGTTAGCATGCAAAGGAAGTGCAACACTTACAGCACTTCGCCTTGACACGGGTAGGGGGCCAAGATGGCCTCAGAGAACAAATTGTATCAAGAAGCCGAAACAGAGCTTCTATCTGTTGCCGCCGCCGTCAAGTGAGTTGGTGTGATCTCTATGAGCAGAGCGATTTCCTGTAAGCATCATCAAGCAGCCAGCCACCATCGCAGATGTTGTCAACAGAATGGCAGAGGACAGGCCGGTGTACTGCAGGTCGACGGACGATTCGAGACATGACGGGTGAAGAAGATTACAAACACTGACAAACATGAGGCTAACGGCGATCAAGAAAGCAATCAAAACCAATGTGGATGCTGGACGCCCACATTTCGATCGGCAGCTTCTGTTACCGAACATGGCCGATTGACCGGAGGTGAACCGATCCTGCACGGTGGCAATGGCAACATGTTCGAGAGAAGAACGTTGCAGTGGGTCGGTTTGATGTGCTCTAGAACGGATACTTCCGTATTTGATGGAAAAATGGCCTAGACATCAGTCCAGCACGGTCTGCGGGCTTTCGCTTGGATCGACCACATCAGTTCATGCATGGTGGGTGAACCCTTGTCCCACATGAACTGCTCGCACGGCCGGCGACGGCGGTCGGACAATATGGTCTGCAACCGGTGAGCCCCGTTATTTCTGCGAAATATTCATATATTCTTCTTCTCCTTACCGGAGCCAGTCTGTCTTCTCGTCTCCAGGTACACAAAAGGCCTTGCCTCCCATGTTCCCACTCCCCACGAATCCCCCATTGCTGCCAACCCTTCAACACACCATCCCTCTTTTCACGCGGTGCGCATTCTTTCAAGTTGTCTCGACTGCTCAAGGTGACTCACCTCGACCGTGTGGGCAGATCAAATACAAGATAAGTACACCGTGATCGATGAGCATGTGTGCACAGAATTGGCCCGGCCGTTGAGCAGAAGCGAAAACTCGATAGCCACTCACAAACATCGCCAGGTGCAAGTCGATCCAAGGCACATCGACTGCCACCATTTGTGTTGGCAAAGTCATGCGTGCACGTCCAAGGCGCCTCTTTTCATCTCTTATCACGCGTGGCCTCAAGCCCTCATCTTCCGTTCACTTTTCGTCCAGCAATGACCAAGGTGCAAGAATCGACGAGCTCCGCGTTCGGGCCATCGTCCTTGATGTTAGGCTCAAGCACATGCTGCTGTTAAAGTAACGTGAGTGCATTTTAGATCAGACCGTCGGATTGCTGCTCACCGCCTGTGTCAAGCAACACCATCCAATGGATCAAGCTCGTGGTCGATATCGGACACATTGCACTCGATGCGGGGCATTGAGGGACATGGTAAGTCTTGTGTGGGCTGATGGCAGACCTTGCACAGTGGTTGACAGGGTGACCAAAAGCAACCTAGAGCGAATGCCAGGGAAGGCGGCCATCAAAGCCCACCTTGGACCTCATACCACATGCTGAATGCGAGATGCTCCCATAGACTGACCCCACCATCCATCACGGTCGGCCTCTGCGGCCTGCGTGTTGGTCGTGATCAGTACCCTATGCCTTGCCCCGCAGTCCAAAGCCACAGACAGCAGGAGGGCGATGAGCGCACGAGGGCATGTCCAGCCCAAGTGCCACGCGGGTGAGCGCAATCGACGGTCACAACCGATCTTGGCCGTCTCTTGTCGCGCGTCTCGTCAATTTCAGTATCTGCGTAGCCAACCTCTCGCCTCTGTCTCTATATGCTCCGGGCATCCACACTGTCACGATGTTGACGGCATCTTCGACGCGAGCAGGACAATCGCACGGAGGGACCGCCCTACTCAACACGTACACGTCAAAAATCGAGCAGCAGGTGTGGTTAGTTGCTCACCGTTCAAAATGTTCCCTGGCACTTGCTGTCCATCACGTCAAGTCACGGTCCATTCTGCAGTCTGTTTGCGTGAGCGGTGAGGCCATGCAACCCGAATACCATGCAGATAAGCACGAACGATGGCTGCAACGGGTCTGGCCATGTCTCGCCGCGCACCTCGTCAATTGCTGTATCCGCACAGCCAACCTCTCCCCTGCATGGGCGGTACGCTCGGGGCATCCATACATCTCGCGAGGTCGACGCAAACAGGGTGTTGAGCGCAGAGACTGCCCGATTTGACAGGTTTACGTGAAGGATCAAGCAATAGGTGCGTAGGGTGGTGACTTGCTCACCGTTCGAAACGTTTCCTGGCACTTCCTGTGCGTCGCGTCGAGTTATGGTCCATGCTGGGTCCATTTGCGTCAGCGGCGAGCGCATGCAGCGCAGGGAATGGCCTTCGTCTTCCATCGTAGCGGCGCGTCCCTGACGTGCAGTCTAGTCTCAGAACGAGGCGGCATGCTCAATCCTTCGGCATTGACGCACCCAGCGCAGAGAGGCTGGTGAAGTACTGCGGACGATACGGTGGGCCGTTCGCGAGCCATGACCTACTCCTTGCGACACGGAGATGAACGAGATGCACGGCTGGTATGGGCGAGGGCGAGTTGGACGGCAAGGGATAACAACGGAAGAGGTGGGCGAGCGCATCGTCGGTGATGGGGGATTCAGTGGCGGATCAGGGTCGCACAGCGCGGGGATGGTATCGAGGTATTCGTAGAGAAGGGAAGGACAGTGAGAGCATGTTGAACGTAGTAGCTGGAAATAAACGGAATGCAGCTCAATGTAGTTGAAACGAAAGCGGGCTCACCTGTCTTTGCCAATGCCACTGTAGCTGGTGCAACGGCTCTCTGCTCTCTGCAGGGCATTATATCCAAGATACTGCACGGTCGTACCTTGCTGGGATATATCTGGCAGTCACACCATGTGCAGCGCGGCAGGGTTGGATGCGAGAAGCGCACGTCGCGTGACGTCACGGAGACGGACGAGTGACGCTGGTGGACATCGCAGGTCTCTCTTTGCATTTCCCCATGAGGCCCCCACGCGCACGCCCCGCTCCAAAGGCGCTCAGTCTCTCGATCCCCCGCTCACCTACCCCCCACATGCCCAAGCGCGACAAGCCACATCCCGTCCTCCGCTGGTTCTCCGCTAAGCACTCCCGCTCCCTCCCCCGCTCCCATTCCCGCTCACAAACGCCCTCGCCCACGCCCTCATCCTCCACCCCATCCACGCCCTCCTCTGCCGCCTCCGCTCTCGCGGACGCCCTTGGCGACGACCCCCACCTCTCCCACCCTAATTTCGACCCCGAGGCGCCATCCCCCGTCGACCTCCCCACTCGCCCCGAGGCCGCCCGCCTGCCCGCTCATTTCCGGCCCTCCCAGCCCCCACGCTTCCTCTCAGAGCTCACTCGCAGCACCCTCCCCACCGCCTCCCTCTCCCCGCCTCCCATCTATGCCTACTTCGACCCTTTCGCTCCCGCAGAACCACATAACCCCGACCTCGACGTCTTCTACAGCCCCACGCCCACTCCAGTCGCTATCCCCCACTCGCCTGCGCCCGCTCATGTCAATCGCTCGCGTGCCGGCTCGGGGACCATCCCCTCATATTCCAGGCGCTCGTCCCTCGACACGCTGCGCGAGATTCAGGAGAGAGAGCGTACGCTGCATACCACTGCGGCGCAGCAGCTTAGGCTGCCCTCGCTGCCCGACTCGATCCGCAGCTGGTTCTCGACGGAGGAGGAGAGCATCCACCCGCTGCTCAGCGAGGAGGATCAGCGGCGCACCGCGGAGGAGGAGAGGGAGCATATCCGCCGGAAATGTGCGTGCCACTTCCTTTTCCTCCGACTACACGATTCTCACGTTGGCACTTCGTAGACTACGCCCCGAAGAACCCTATCGTATTCTGTCACGGACTGCTCGGCTTCGACACCGTCACGCTCGGGCCCGCCATCGCATCGCTGCAAGTCACGCACTGGCGCGGGATCAAGGAGGCCTTGGAGGCGAACGGCGTCGAGGTGTGTGTCTCTCGTCACCCATTCACTCCCGCTCACTGACGGCCCCGCCCAGGTGCTCATG